TATGAAAAATATAATTATACTGTGAAAAAACCTGGCTCCCCTTTGTCTTCTATTTGTTCATTCAAGGAGTTTGTTTGACTCAGTGTGGGTGTCTGAAGCCACTGTGCCTGGAGTTCACTGAACCTTATGGTTTAATTATCAGTTCCCCAAATATCTTCCCAGTCCCTCCTTCCTTCGTCCTTTTCAATCTTTCTTCTTTCTGTCCCTCAGACTCCTTGATTCCCATTATCCCAGTTTCTGTCCCTCAGACTCCTTGATTCCCATTATCCCAGTTTCTGTCCCTCAGACTCCTTGATTCCCATTATCCCAGTTTCGCTGACTCTGCTTAGTCTACTATCTACCTTTGCTCCTCCTGACAACTGTGTGTTATTCTTAGCTCCAGAATGTCCTTTTCTTGTTTGGCTGCTTTTGGTGTTTTTGTTTGTTTTGTTTTGTGTTTTAGATTTTGAGACAGGGTTTCTCAGTCTAACATCTCTGGCTGTCCTGTAAACCTGGCTGGCCTTAAGCTCACAGAGATCCTCCTGCCTCTGCTTCCTGAGTGCAGGGATTAAAGGTGTGCACCACCACTGCCTGGCTTTTTGTTAGCTTTTCAACTTTTTTTTTTCAATTCGTTAAGAACACCCCCAAGGTATTAGGAAGAGAAAATGGAGAGCTGGAAAGATGGCTCAGTGAGTGAACGAATTTGCTGTCAGATGATGCAAGGCTTCAGACATGAATGTGATCCTTGGAACGCAAGTAAAAGTGACAAAAGCGTCCTCTGACCGTCACACATTTCGCCATGAACTTCACTTCCTCCACACTCTTCCTGCGTTAGGACAGGTTCTATGGCGGAGCAGAACTGATAGATTACATGTATATTATAAACTCGGGGGCTCAAGAGATGTCTTGGCAGTCCAGTGGGCTTGCTCTTTCTACAGAGGACCAGACTTGGGTTTCGGAAGCCCACAGCTCCTCCAGTTCAAGAGATGTAACAGCCTCTTTTGTCCGTGCCATAGACACAGACACAGGCGATAAATAACAAATCTCTAAAGGAACTGACTAGAATGGCTTACCAGATAAGATCTGGGTAGTCCAATAAAGGCTGTGCATGATGCTGGAGAGGCCAAGAGCCCTGTCACTCCTCAATTCATAAACTAAATACCTCAGGGGGTCCCATCTGGTGCTTCAAGCTTACACGGTTCAGTCCTTGTTGGAAGACCAAGCATCTGGAGTCTCATGTCACAAAGAATGGCAGCCACAATAGCAGTACCAGCAGAGACACACACACTCAGCAGTGAAACCAAGGCTGGTGGGCAGGCAGGCAGGGGGGGCAGGGAGGGAGGCAGGGAGGCAGGGAGGGAGGCAGGGAGGCAGGGAGGGAGGCAGGGAGGCAGGGGGGCAGGGAGGAAGGCAGGGAGTCAGGGAGTCAGGGAGTCAGACTCCTTGGAAAGCTGTCTGGGCTTTTTTTTTTTTTTTTTTTTTGGTTTTTCGAGACAGGGTCTCTCTGTGGCTTTGGAGGCTGTCCTGGAACTCACTTTGTAGACCAGGCTGGCCTCGAACTCACAGAGATCCGCCTGCCTCTGCCTCCCGAGTGCTGGGATTAAAGGCGTGCGCCACCAACGCCCGGCTGTCTGGGCTTTAAGATGCTATCCACTCTGAGGATCTCTCGCCCCTACTCTGCAGAAGGCTGTATTTCTCCCAGTAAATCCTTTCTAGAAAAGTCCTCAAAGACCTGTCCAGACATCTCTCTTTTTAAGGTTTATTTATATATTAATTATACAGTGTTGTCTGCATGTATGCCTGTAGGAATCCCCCAGCTGGCAGCATCTTCATTTCCTGGTAGAGGAGCATATCTACAAAAGATAAAATGATGGCACCTCCATCAAAACCCTGAAGAGGACCCGGGAAGCTTCTGTCCACAGCTTCGCCATTGTTGCCACTGAGACCCCTGCTGGTGTCACTGTCTTCTCCTCCAGGAATACCAGTCCCTGGGGCCAGTCTGACTCATGGGACCTTCATACACCAGACCCAAGAAGCTGCATCTTCTGGTGCTGGCTTCCAGCGTCTCACAGAATCGTCTCACATCCATGTGCTGACGGCCACCATGGGTGCGTGGACAATGCCATCTTGGGTCTGATGTGGTGGAAGCTGGCCCCCAAAGTTCTATGCATACACAAAGCCATCCGTGTGAATGAATATCCATAGGTCATGCGTGGTTCCTGTACAGCAGTGGTTCTCAACCTGTGGGTCAGGTCCCTAACAAGAACCACATCTCAGATATTTACAATATGATTCATGATAGTAGCGAAATTATAGTTATGATCTAGCAACAAAATAACTTTATGACCAGGCATTGGTGGCACATACTTTTAATCCCAGCACTCAGGAGGCAGAGGCAGTCGGATCTCTGTGAGTTCGAGGCCAGCCTGGTCTACAGAGTGAGTTCCAGGACAGTCTCCAAAACAATACAGAGAAACCCTGTCTCAAAAAACAAAAAATAAAATAATAATAACAACTTTATGGCTGGGGGTCACCACCACATGAGGGACTGTATTACAGGGTCACAGCATTAGGAAGGGTGAGGACACTGATTATTAGAGTCCGCCAGGAGAAACAGCAACAGTGGCAGAGCTATACCCAGGAGGAATTTCAAGGTGAATGAACCAAGCCGGCTCCTGAGTTCACTGCTGCTTAGTCTGAGGTAGGAGGGGATTCAGAGGCATGTGGGCCACATCTGTGCCTATGGAATCCAGTCCCTTCTGAAAACAGCCAGCCAGCTGCAGCTTCCGACGCTGAGCGCTGAATGGCAGGCAGTCACTGAATTAACTTATGTTCTTCTGCAAGCACGTCACCAAAGGTAAGATGAAGGGGTGAGGGCTGCAGCACTGGCTGTTCCTCCAAAGGTCGTGAGTTCAACAACCAGCAACTACTTAGTGGCTCACAACCATCGGTAGTGGGATCTGATGCCCTCTTCTGGCATAAAGGTGTATATGCAGATAGAGCACTCATATACATAAATCTTTGAAAAATTGGATGAAAAATACCAGTTCCAAAAAACATTGTATATTTGAAATCACGGCTCCATTCAGGATAGAGTACATTGCTCATATCCTGAAAGCTGCTTTTCTCACTTCCTAAAGGCAACTCTTACCCATCCACTAAAGGCAACCAACATTCCCTCTAGACCTATCTTATACTTTTTAAATTTGGAGACAGTTTCTGTGACTGTCATGGAACTCTTTGTAGACCAGGCTGGCCCCAACTCAGAGATCTGCCTGCCTCTGCCTTCTGAGTGCTGGGATTAAAGGCGTGCACCACCAGCACTTGGCTATAACTATCTTTATACTCTTTGTAAGGGTTTCCCCTCTTTATTGCTTCACTCGGGTAGGTTGCAGGATTCCACAAGAGTCTTGACTTCTACAAGCCATGTTGCTTGTATGACTTTCAGGTAACAGATGACCACGTAGGTCAAAGAGGTTGCCTTTTAATACTCTCCACAACCGGTGAGCCACAACAGTCTTATTCATCTCTGTATTTAGAAACTCACAGCAGAAACAGGCTTCCTATGCAGAGAGCAAGAGCCCCGCCTACTGGCCTCTTCAGTAACTGCAGAACCTAAAGCAAATTCTTTAAAGTTGGAATTGGGAAAACTGGCAGCTGTGTTTGGGTTGAGAGTATTACAGTGGGACTGAGAAGATGACTCAGTTGGTGGAGTGCTAACCTACTACTCTTGAGGCCTCAGCTTTGATTTCCAGCACCACAAAACAAGATAGGTCGTGAGTGCTGAAATTTAAAGGTGTGCACCACAACATCCAGTATGTGTGGTTAAACCGAGTGGTAGTGGCACACACCTTTAATCCCAACACTCGGGAGGCAGAGGCAGATGGATCTCTGTGAGTTCGAGGCCAGTCTGGTCTTCAGAACAAGTTCCAGGACAGCCTCCAAAACAATACAGAGAAACCCTGTCTCATGGGTAAAAAAATGTGGTTAAAGACAGTCACTGAGCTTGAGGACCTGAGTGTAATTACCAGGACTCATATGGTGGAGAAAACTGACTCCAATAGTTTGTCTGACCACATGTGCACTATGGTGGTGCCCCCCCCCCACACAAATACTTTTTTAAAATTAAGTTTGTACTAGGCGGTGGTGGCGCACACCTCCTTTAATCCCAGTACTCAGGAGGCAGAGGCAGGTGGATCTCAGAGTTCAAGGCTACAAATCGAGTTCCAGGACAGAAGACAGAGAAACCCTGTCTTGAAAAACCCTAACAGAAATCAACCTTGTTCATTTTGTGACTGTTTGATTGCATGTATGTGTCACATTCATGCCTGGTGCCTAAGGTCAGAAGATCTGGAGCCTCTGGAACTGGAGTTATGATTATGAACCACCCACAATGTAATGTAGGTGCTAGGAATTGAAAGCCAGCCCTCTGGTTTTATAGGGGCTGGAGAGATGGCTCAGTAGTCCAGAGCACTGGCTGTTCTTCCAGAGGACCTGGGTCCAACTCCCAGCACCCACATGGTAGCTTACAAAATTAGTTGTAACTCTTTCCAGTGGATCTGAAATAGAAGCAGGCAAAATACTAATGTATACAAATGGAAAAATAAAAATTACATTTAAAAGATTTGAAGTTGTTCCTTTTCATTGTTTATCAAGACAAGGTTTCTCTGTAGTTTTGGAGCACATCCTGGAATTGGCTCTGTAGTGCTGGGCTGAGGCGGGCCCCACCACCACCCAGCCTTTTTATTCCAAGACAAGGCTTCACTGTATAACTGGCTGTCATGGTCACTCTGTAGACCAGGTTGGCCTTGAACTCCTTCTGTCCCCTGAGTGTTGGGATTAAAGGGATGGGACAGTACTGTCTGGCCTGGAACTTTCTAGGTAAACCAGGCTGAGCCTTGGACTCAGAGCTGTCTGCCTCAGCTGGGACTCAAGATCCACACTGCTACACCCAGTCCCTACTTGTTCTGCTGCATACAGAGCTATGAGACCTTACACTCACAAATAAAACTCTCAACACATTATACACCATCCAGTTTATTGCTCTGGTAAGACGCAGAGCTCTGACCATGTAGAGATCCGCACATTTTCTTCCTTGAGGAGCTGCCACAGAGCGCCAGCTTCTAACAAGTCATCAGGTATTTCATCCGTGGAGCCTGGTGTCTGTTCTCAGCAGGTCAGCCCAGTGCTCTCCTCTCCCCTCCCTCTGGCTGAGCTCTGTCACATCCCAACGACTCCGCTGGCCCACGAAGCTCTGCTCGTTTATTTATTTACCTATTTATTGAAGTGCTAGGGATCAAACTAGGGACATGAATGCTAGGCAAGCACTGTTCCCTAGATGCGCTTTCCCAGCGTGCTGAAATCACTAACAATTAGTACAGAGGACCGTCTTAAACAAGACACAATCACCCCCATGTACCAATCAAGACAAAACGATCCTGTGTTCAGATCCTCCAACCTTGCTGTTCGCAAGCCTGTCTGTCTCTACAACGTAACATTCTTTCCGTTCCTCCCCACAGGTTTCCTGTCATGTACCCACTGTAACCTACTTCACATTGAGGGCTGAGGTTTTAATTCATCATTTCCTTGTCAGGTGATTTTCAACCATGCAGGAATTAATCACACCAATTTTGTGTCGCCACTGTTACCAAGACAGAAGTAATTAAGCATTGTTCAGTTGTTGATGACGTTAAAAACAAATACAGGCATGAATTTAGTATACATATGAATTTAGTATACACAGTAGTAAGGGTCAAGTTGTTGAAAATGCTTTTCAATGTCAGAAAAGCCTGCTTAGAAATTAAAACTAAGGTGTATTGTAAACATGTAATAGTAACAATTACTAGAAACAAAATACTCAAGACAGTTACATTCACACCACAGAGAATTCTGCCTGTCATTTTACCCCCAACATAGGGTTTCTGTCTGTGTAGCCCTGGCTGTCCAGGAACCCAGAGATCCGCCTGCCTCTGCTGTGCTGGGATTAAAGGCGTGAGCCATCACCGCCCAGCTAATGCCTGTCAATTTTATAGGCTGTTATATTCCAAGAGCAGCACTTTTATCCCCAAAAGTTGGTAGATCATGCTGGTTTCTGAAAGCTTTGGATGAACACAGAGCACACTTACAAGACAAATTCCACAACCAATAACCCCACCATGGTCGGGTGCAAGTGGGGTAGAATGTGGATGTGCACTCACACGACAAGAGTTCTCCAACTCTGACCACGTGACATTCTGACATTCTGTGGAACTCATCTCTGAAAATCATAACAATCTATACGAAATCATTTAATATAAAACATACAAACTTCTCCATATGCAGACCCACAGAACAGGAAGGCAATGACGACAAGCAAACCCGTACAAAAGGAGGAACATGGAAGGACTGGAGACTGATGAGTCTCAGGACCCTCTCCTGACGGCACTGAGTCTCTGGGTCCATTGGTGGTGACGGGCCAGCCCTCCATCACCACCGTCCTCTGCTAAGATGACCACAGGTCACTCGCTGTCAAACTTGACGGAATTGACCTGCACAGAGATGGAGCCGCCCCGGTAGCTGCCCCTCTTCTTCTTCGTTTTTTCATGGCGGAAGGACTTGCCTTTGGTGAACTTCAGAACCTGATTGGCTCGCTCACCCCAGTCTCCAGCTGCACCTCGCTGGTAAATAATAAAGTTAGTGCACAGAAGACATTAACAAGCCGGGCAGTGGTGCCCCACGCCTTTAATTCCAGCACTTGGGGGGCAGAGGGATCTCAGTGAGTTCTAGGACAGGCTCCAAAGCTACACAGGGAAACCCTGGCTCAAAAAACAACAACAAAAAAAGTAAAAAGAAGACAATACTAAAGCCTCACCTTGGCATCAAAGGAATTGTCTGCTACTCGTGAATCCACCTCAATCTCCTCCTCCCTGACCCTTCGGAATGGGGAAGATGCCCTTTTATCTGCCTAGAGAATGAAGCAGGAAATGAGATTTATTTATTTTATATCTTTTATATTTATTTATTCATTCATTTATTTATTTATTTATTTTGGCTTTTCGAGACAGGGTTTCTCTGTATTGTTTTAGAGGCTGCCCTGGAACTACTCTGTAGACCAGGCTGGCCCGAAATCACAGAGATCCGCCTGCCTTTGCCTCCCGAATGCTGGGATTAAAGGCATGCGCCACCAACGCCCAGCTGGTGATTTAACAGCTCTCCTCACAGGCTGTGGTATCAGCCAGATTGTCAAGGTGGCCCCAGGGCATTCTGGTTTAAAGGCTGGGTTCTGAGAATACTATGGAACAACGTACTTTCTTCCTTTTGGGAAAAGTGTTGGGAGTCTGGAGCTTAACTTTCTTAGCTTGAGGTGTCTCTGCTTCCTCTGCTGTGTCATTCTGCTTTTGTTTCTTTCCTGAACCTACAAAACAAAAAGGCAGACTCAGAAGTCACGTGTGATGGAAATCTGCCATGCAGTCAGGAGCAGGCGTCTCCCCTGCCTGGCTCCCTCTCTGAGTACATTCCAGGGATGGAGGACAGACCCAGGGGTGGCTCTACACATACAGACCTGGCTTGGAAACTGCCCTTTTCGTCTCTTCCTCCTCCTCCTCCTCCTCTCCCTCACTTTGCTTGCCTGCTTGTCCGTTCTGAGGCGCGGGAGTGCCGTTGGCCTTGCTGGCCTGGGGTCCAGCACTGCCCTTGCCCTTGGGCTTCTCCTCCTCGGCACTGGAACTTTCAGAGGAGCTGCTGCTCTCAGCTGCTGCCTTCTTCCCAGAGGCTGCTTTGGAAGGGGCTTTGCCTCCCACTGCCTTTGTCTTAGCTGGGGGCTTAGGTGTCTTCTCCTCTTCGTCACTGCTGGAACTGTCTGAGTCGGAGCTGCTGTCTGCCGCAGCCTGAGGCGCCTTTTTGGCAGGCAGGGATGGTGCTGCTTTAGCAGACACCTTGGGCTTGGGGGTTGTCACAGTTTTCTTTGCTGTCTCCTCCTCACTGGAGCTGCTCTCCTCCTCACTGGAGCTGCTGTCAGCCTTTCTGGTCTGAGGTTTCTGGCCACTGCCTGCTGGTTGCTTAGGAGTGACAGCTGTCTTAGCCACAGATGGCTTGGGAGTGACAGCTGCCTTGCTCACAGGATTCTTGGGGGTGCTGACTGGCTTGGCAGGAGCTTCGTCCTCAGAACTGTCAGAATCTAGATTAAGAGGGGACAGAATGTATCAAACTCAGGAGAACCCTGTAACATCGACCCAAATCAATGAGCATCCCAGTGGCCCACCCGAGGGCCTGAGCAGCATTACCTGAGCTGTCTGAAGAGCTCTCTTTCTTCTTTGCTGGAGCTGGTTTGGCAGGAGCTGGTTTGGCAGGAGCTGGTTTGGCAGGAGCTGGTGTGGTGGGTGTCTTGGAGAGGACCGCTTTAGCAGGGGCTTTCTTCTCTTCTTCCTCAGAGCTCGAATCTGGGGAGGATTTGCGACATTAACATGGGTCCAGAATTGCAGGTCAACCAGGAGTGCAGTAGAAATGTAACAATGTACACCATCCCTTAGCAGGTAGAGAGTAATCCTCTTCCTTGTAGAGTCTCACTACACCCACGACTCACCAGACTCATCACTGCTGTCCTCACTGCTATCTGCAGGCTTTTTCTGCACGGCAGCTTTCTTTGGAGACTGGGTTCCCAAGGACTTCTTTGGCAAAGGAACAGAAGGCGGTGGGACTGAACTGTAGGGACCTATTTAAAAGGTAGAATAGTTTTGAAATACGCATTTGCCAGGCACGGTGGCTCATGCCTGCAATCCTGACATTTATAAGGCTAAGTCTGGGCTACAGAGGAAAAACTCAAACAACAAAATAAAACAGGTCTGGGGGTGTTGCACACTTTTAATCCCAGCACTCAGGAGACAGATTTCTTTCTTTTTTAAAGCGGTTTTCATTATTTGGACAGTGCATGCTTGTCCAAATTACAGACAGTTGAGTGCCATGTGGGTGCTGGGAACTGAACCCAGGTCCTCTGGAAGAGTAGTCAGTGCTGTTAACCACTAAGCCATCTCTCTATTTTTATAAGTTCCAGGCCAGCCTAGTCTACATAGTGAGTTCCAGGATAGGACAGTCTGATCTACATAGTAAGACCCTGTCTCGGAGCAAGCAAATAAGTAAATAGATAACAGAAAAAATAAAGTATGTACACAGGACTAAGGATGTATCTTCTTTTCAAGACAGGGTTTCTCTGTAGCTTTGGAGCCTGTCCTGAAACTACTCTGTAGACCAGGCTGGCCTTAAAGTCACAGAGATCCACCAGTCTCTGCCTCCAGAGTACTGGGACTAAACACGTGTGCCACCAACACCCAGTGAGGATGTATCTTCTAAGTACAGAACCTGCCTAGCACGCATAAACCTGCCCTGGGTTTAATCTCTAGCGCCACAAAATTAAGTACTTAAATTCTTGTATTCCCTCTATCCAGAAACGGGCTTACCCTCTACTGCAGAATGTGGGTTGGGATTCATAAGTCATTTCAAACTGTGTCACTTCTAAGGCATTGTGGAATCCCTTGCCCCCCTCCCTTTTTGATCTCTTCTGGAAGAAGTTAGTTGCTGTGCCATGAGGACTTTTCACAGATAGGTCATACAGCTTGATGGCTCATGTCTAATCACCTGGTTTTTTCTTCATGGGTTTTTTCTGCTCTTCCTCATCACTAGAAGACTCCTCACTGCTAGAACTCTTTTGAGTAGGGGTGGCAGCCACCTTCACTGGTGCCTTGGCCACAACTTGTTTTTTAGGTACAGTCTGCATCTGAGAGAAAAATTTACATTAGAGGAAAATACCTTCCAAGACAATTCTATCAGGCTGGCAGTAGTGGTGGTTTAGGACTCTGACCCCAGCACTCAGGAGGCAGAGACAGACCCTTGTGAGTTTGAGGCCAGCCAGGTCTGCGTAGCTGGTTCCAGGACAGCCAAGGCTGACACACAGAAAGCCTGACTCAGGAAAACAAACCACCAATCTACTAGGAGAGACATTCTCAGTCCCTTTACCTCATCCTGGATAGTTACAACCCTAACCTTCTTGGGGGGTGCAGTTGGCTTCTCCTCCTCTTCAGAGTCATCGCTGCTGCTGCTGCTGCTGCTGCTGCTGCTGCCTGCTTTGCCATTGGTTACTTTAGGTTGTGCTTTAGCCGGTGTACCTGAGAAACAAAGTGATATTAAGACAAATTGGTGAGCCAGGCAGTGGTGGCGCACGTCTTTAATCCCAGCACTTGGAAAGCAGAGGCAGGCGGATCTCTGTGAGTTCAAGGCTAGCCTAGTAAATAGAGTTCCAGTACAGCCAAGGCTGTACAGAGAAACTCTGTCTCGAAAAACAAAAAAAATAAACAAGCAAAAAAAGACAAAATAAGCAGACTTGAACAAATGTTCTGTTAACACAGGACTTAAGGCTAGTGAAATGGCTCATTGGATAAAGGTGCTTCTCACCAAGCTTCATGACCCGAACTTGCAGTTACATGGTAAAAGCAGAAAACCAACTCTTGCAAGTTCTCCTTCCTCTTATGCTCCAAGTGAATGCTGTGATATGTACACAGATGCACCGACATATACAATAAACCAATTACACATCACTTTCAAGTCTTTCTCTTCAACCTCTGCTAACAGGTCTTGCAAATCACAAGCCAGCTCTCATAAGGAAGAAATGACTCGTTTGTTGTGGAGTAAAAACAGCAAAGAGTTTGAGGCCGGGCTGGACCGACAGCCTCCAAAACAATACAGAGAAACCCTGTCTCGTATAAAAAAAAAAAAAAAAAAAAAGCAAAGAGCACACAGGCTGCGCTGTTGCTCAGAGATAATGAAGGACTTATCACACACAAAGCCTAGGGTTCTCCTGTGCTTGAGGGCCGAACTCCAGGCTGAGATTAGGTGTGCACCAAGCACTATGCTGAGCTAAGGAATGCCTAATAATCCCATATAATGCCTAATAATCTCTCAATCTCTCTTTCTCTCCCTTCCTCCCTCCCTCCCGCCCTTAGCACTTGGAAGCAGAGGCAGGAGGATTGAGTTCAAGGCCAGCCTGGGTCTTTAGACTTCCTTTCAATCAAAAATAACAATTAAGGGACTAGAAAAATGTCTCAGAAGAACATTTACTGCTCTTCTAGTGCCCACATCAAGCAGGTCAACAGCCTACACTATAACTCTCCCTCTACATTTGATGCCCTCTTTTGGCCTGTGGAGTCACCTGCATGCATATGGGCACGAACATGCTTGAGTATATACATACTTTTTTCTCTTTGTTTTGCAAGACAGGGCTTCTTTGTGTAACCCCGTGGCTGTCCTAGAACACTCTGTAGACCAGGCTGGCCTCAAACTCACAGAGATCCACCTGCCTTTGCCTCCCAAGCACTGGAATTAAAGGCGTGCGCCAACAAAGCCTGGTCTCACACACACACAAACACTTTTTTAAAAAACTATTTTCTTTTCTTTTTTAAGACGGCGTTTCATTACATAGCTCTGGCTGTCTTAGAACTTAAAAGTTCTGGAGCTGGAGAGATGGCTCAGAAGTTAAGAGTACTGACTGCTCTTTCAGAGGTCCTGAGTTCAATTCCCAGCAACCACATGGTGACTCACGACCATCTACAATGAGATCTTGTGTCTTCTTCTGGCATTCAGGCATACAAACACTATATACATAATAAATAAATAAAATCTAAAAAAAAAAATAACTTAAAAGTTCTGCCTCTACCTCCCAAGTACAGAAATTAAAGTCGTGCTCTACTACACCAGGCTAAAAGATTTTTTAGTGAATCTTTGCCCCTAGGCATGATGACTATATATGTAATTCTAGCCATCAAGAGAGGCTAGACCAATCAATTCAACCACTGCTTGAATTGCTTAACAGAAAATTTTTAAAAAGTTTTTTTTTTTTCGAGACAGGGTTTCTCTGTGGCTTTGGAGGCTGTCCTGGAACTTGCTCTTGTAGACCAGGCTGGCCTCGAACTCACAGAGATCCGCCTGCCTTTGCCTCCCAAGTGCTGGGATTAAAGGCGTGTGCCACCAACGCCTGGCAAAAAGTTTTTCTTGCCTAGTGGTAGTGACGCATGCCTTTAATCCCAGAGCCTGGGAGGTACAGGCCAGCCTGGGCTACAAAGTTCAGGACAACCAGGACTGTTACAGAGAAATCCTGTCCAAAACAACGAACTACAAAAGTTTCCCTTGCTATTTTTTGGGGGGGGTGGGGATGGGGGGTTTCGAGACAGGGTTTCTCTGTGGCTTTGGAACCTGTCCTGGAACTAGCTCTTATAGACCAGGCTGGTCTGGAACTCAGAGATCCACCTGCCTCTACCTGCTGGGATTAAAGGCGTGCAACCACCACCCGGCTATAAAAATTTACTGTATAATGTTTTTGGTTTCTTTCTCATTCTATGGATGGCCCAGAACTTGGTAAGTTAACTGGCCTTGAAGTTACAGCAACCCTACCTTGCCTGCATGGATTACAGGTGTACATGGCTGAGGACTATACTCAGGGCATCACATACTGGAGGCAAGTACTCTACCTCAGTCTTGCTAATCTCCAGCCTTCTATCTCCCCCTAAAATTCTGAGACAAGGTCTCAGTAAACTTTTTTTTTTTAAACGAGACAGGGTTTCTCTGTATTGTTTCGGAGGCTGTTGGTCCAGCCTAGCCTCGAATTCACAGAGATCCGCCTGCCTCTGCCTCCTGAGTGCTGGTATTAAAGGCGTGCACCACCACTGCCCGGCGGTCTAGGTAAACTTTGGAGCATGTCTTACGCTTCCAATCCCCCTGCTTCACTTTTCTGGGTAGGTGAGATTATAGACCTTGACAGCCATGGCTGGGTAAAGAGAAGTGATGGACACCTGTAATTCAGCAACCATACATTTTATACTGGTCCCAGCCAACCCCACACCGACCTCCCACCCCCGACAGAAGTACCTGGCTTAGCTGCGGCTTTAGGTTGAGCTTTGGCTGCCGTGGCTGTCTTTAGCTTCGGGGTCTGTGGTGCTTCATCTTCTGAGCTTGAGTCAGACTCGGATTCAGAGCTCTTGGCTTTCTTAGGAGGAGCTTTGACTGCCTTGGCTTGGGGCTTAACTGCCTTTTGCTAAAACAGACGGGGGTAAATTGCCTTAATTTCAACATGCAGGAGGCCAAGACAGGTGGGTCTCTGAGTTCAAGGACAACCTGAGCAACACAGAAAGTTCCAGGATCGCCAGGGATACACAGAGACCCCATCGCAAACAAAAACCCACAAAACAAATCAGACATGAGGACAATCAGCAATGGCTCCTAGGCATGCAAAGGGCACCCAAGATGCCTACTGAAACGGCAAGAAAAAAAGTAAGCCATGCAGGCGGTGGTGGGCACGCCTTTAATCCCAGCACTCGGAAGGGGATCTATGAGTTCGAGACCAGCCTGGTCTACAAGAGCTACAAGGCCAGCCTCCAAAGCCACAGAGAAACCCTCCCTTGGGATCCCCCACAAAAAAAAAAAAAAACCCTGTATTTTCAGGGCCTACACATACCCCTGAAGAACACATGGCCCCAAGGAGGTGATTTCTGTCTATTTGGATCCCATAATTCTGGACCTCAGCTTTATCATCTCCTTCAAAAATCCCAGAATTTATCCCACACCGAACAGTTTCCATCACCAACCATAAGCCAGATGTCCAGTTTAGGTTTCATTTCCAAGTTCTTTAGCAGCCCTCTTTACAACCAAAGCTGCAAACCTGGACAGGCTTTTTCTTTTTGTTGTCCTCTTCCTCCTCCTCCTCATCACTGGATTCTTCGCTGCTGCTGCTCTCTGACGCTTTGGCTACTGCCTTCCCAGCATGCTGAGGCAAACTGGTTCGCTTGACAGGCACAGCTTAATAGAAGGATAGAGACCCACAAGGATCACCATACTGTCCAGGCAGGAGTCAGACGCTCTTCCCGAAGCACTGCACCCCCCCCACTGACCCCACCCCTGGCTCTGCCTTACCAGCCTTCTTCGCTGGAAGTCCTTGGGCTTTTTCCTCTTCCTCACTGCTGTCCTCGCTGCTGTCACTGGAGGAAGTCTCCTTCTTTGCCTTCTTGGTCACTGGTCCATTTGACTGTAATTTCCGCTTTGGGGCTTTGGTGGACCTGCTGATGTAGGTTAGGCTGACTTCTGAGGGATGGGAACCTTCTCAAACCAAGGAAGACAGCCCAGCCCACCTAGGGGGAGAAAATAGCCCACGTATAACAAGGAAAGCTTACTTGAGCCAGAAGCTATAGATGTCCAAGAGGGAAGAGGCATTGGCATCCTGCTGTGTCTGCAAGAAAAGAGGCTGAGTTAAAGAAATGTTACGATTCTCTAGGTCAGATTCTGTTACTCTTTCATCAAATATAATCTGTCCGCAAACAACTGTCCCAGAACCTACAAGGCAGAGGTAGGGAGATCTGTCTAAACATGGAGTTATACAACAGTCAGGGCTACGTAGAAGGCCCTGTCTCAAAAGAGAAAAGAGTTATCTGTTACTTACCTACTCAATTTGAAATGGATGTTAGATCTTCATAAGAGTTTTTCTACTTACATAAATTAGGAGAAAAATATTCTACTTACATATTGCCTAGCTTTGAGTATAAAAAAAATGGGCTACCTCTGATACTGTTTGGCTATTCCTAAGCCTTTCCATATTTTTCAAAGCCTTAGAAAGACTTCAGCAATTAAAATATCGACAAAGAATATTAATTGAGGGGCTAGAGAGATGGCTAAGTGATTAAGAGAACATATTACTCTTCCAGAGGACCTAAGCTAATTTCCCAGCACCCACCAGGAGACTCACAATCACATGTCAACTCCAGATACAGGGTTTCTGACAACTCTGGCCTCTGCAGGCACCTGCACTAATGTCTACTATTGCAGGCTTAATAAATTGACTTTTTAAAAGGTACTAGGTGTAGTGGCACATGCCTTTAATCCCAGCACTCAGGAGGCAGAGGAGTCTGATGTCCCTAAATTGAAAGTACTTGGGAAGCACAAACAGATGGTATGAGTTCGAGAACAGCCTGGTCTACAGAGTTCCAGAGTAGCCAGGTTACAGAGAAACCACTGTCTTTAAAAAATAAAAAAATAAGCCGGGCGTTGGTGGCACACGCCTTTAATCCCAGCACTCGGGAGGCAGAGGCAGGCGGATCTCTGTGAGTTCGAGGCCAGCCTGGTCTACAGAGCGGGTTCCAGGACAGCCTCCAAAGCCACAGGGAAACCCTGTCTCGAAAAAACAAAAAACAAAACAACAACAACAAAAAAATAATAATAATAAAAAAAAGACGAAGGGCGGTGGTGGCCCACGCCTTTGATCCCAGCAATCCGGAGGCAGAGGCAGGTGGATCTCTGTGAGTTCGAGGCCAGCATGGTCTACAGAGAGAGTGCCAGGACAGCCTCCAAAACTACACAGAGAAACCCAGTCTCGAAAAACAAGAAAAGACAAATTTATGTAAATTAAATGATATCCTGGTATGGTCAGGGATATTAATGCATACCTGTATCTCTGCATTAGGAAGATGAGCAAGAGGAACAGAAGTTCAAAGCCATCCGCTACTACACAAGGGATACATAAAGACCCTGTCTCAAACAAAAGACGGCTGCCGGGGTCACACATGTAGAAACTCGCAGAGCCTGGTCAAAGCCTATGCTTGTTTTATTTCAGTACCTAGAGCCCCAGGCTCAGTGAAAATTGGCAGGGCTGGATGCTCGCTCCTCCTACAGTATACCGAAAGCAACCTTCCTCTACACTCATTCATTTTTTTCTTTGGTAAAAATAAATAAAACCCTAGCCTTCATTGCTGAACAATTTATCTTCAGAGTCTCAGGCTAAATTGCGACCAAGGGTAAGGCTTACAAAAAAGTACACCAGATTAATCAGGCACCGCCAATCCAAAACTACCTGTGGGATCTAGCTCATCTTACGTTGTCAGCCACATGACCCGGGCCACGCGGGACCCACGCCTGCCGCCGCTGCAAAAGTCAGCAAGTAAAAGCACTAAGACTCACTAGTCAGACATGATCGGGCCTCAAGCTTGCACAGGTAGCCAGAAAGGCCTCGCGGACACTGAGTTGACAGACCCCAGACCTTTCCTCCTTGACTTCTAAGTACGTCAAGGCCTAGGCTCTTGGAGAGCCGACCCACCCCGGTCCGCGGACCAAACCCACGACTCACAGCGCCTGTCGCTTTTGCAAATTTACTGGCCACCTCCGAGAGTTGGTTATCACGCAGAAAACCGAGCACGAGGGGATAAAGGTCGCTTGGAACCACGCGGCGCAAGCCGGTATCCGCCATACTCCCGGTAAAACGCGTCCCTACCGTCGCGCACGCTGCACGACTTATGAACTCCGAAGCACGGATCAGGGCAGGGGGCGGGTTCAGTGTCGTCATCACGTCGCGCGGCGCGTAGCGGAAGCGTGGGGCTCCGCCTCGGAGGCAGGATGCAGGTGACGTCCATAAACTCCTTCCGGTCTCACGTGCTTTGCCATCCTGCTAAGGGCGGAGCCCAAGGGCCACCCATTGCCAAGGCGGAGCTTTTGCGTCAGAGATCACGCGCCTGTCTTTGGCGGGAAAAGTTGCGATTTCCCGCGCGTTATCTTTACGGGATTTTTTTTTTAACCGTAGTTTTCCCGTCCCCGGCTGATAGTCAGACCCCACAACAATGAATGTACTGCAGCACTCCAGTCTCTTTCACTAGATGTCGCCTACTGCTCACATTTCCACTGACTATGGCTTCTCTCCCATTCTTCCACCTTCGCTCCCAGTGATACCACCCAGCCCCAGGCTCAAATCATAAGAGAATCCTTAAAAGTTGCTTATTGTGGTTGATAATGGTGTTAGTTCCCCAAACTGCCTTTCAATCATACTTAGGTTACAAGACAATTACACCTCCCCTAGGAGAAAGGGATCATGTATAAAACTTGAATCAAACAGCAATACACTATTAGTGCTAAAAATAACTCTCCCTAAATCAGAGTCACACTGAATTGTCACAGCTCTAGTGTCAGGCGTTTCTTTTGTTGTTGTTGTTATATTAGTCATCCCTCAGGAAGTAATACAGATCCACTTCCTGTGGACACCCTTCCTTTACTTCCCTCAAAACAGGCATGCCTTTCTCTTAAAGAGAACTGTTATCTCCCTCTTTCCCAGACATGGTTCTATCCATATATAAGCATTTTAAAAAATCCACCAGGCAAGGTCACACCCACCTTTAATCCCAGCACTCAAGAGGCAGAGGCAGGTGGATCTCTGGGAGTTCAAGGCCAGCCTGGTCTAAAGAGAGAGTTCCAAACCAAATCTTTCAAGCACATGCACTGGGACAAAGCTAAACTGGTCTTCAGTGGAACTCAACTGACACAAGCCCCAGTTTAGAAAACCTTTGTTTTCAAGAGTTGCTCATATATTACAAATGCCTTTACACCCAGGGCTGGGAAAGCATTTGAGGCCAGATTGGTTTAACACAGAGAAACCCTGTCTTAGAGACCACTTCTCCCCAGATTTGAAATGCTAAATCTCCATTCCAGAAGTCAGAGTCTATGTTATAAAAAGATCTCTAAGCACAGGACAAGTAGTTCTCAACTGTAATGGCTACACAAGAGAGTAGGCTGGGGAACTGGAGGTTTCAGTCCAGCCTGAGCAACTCTACAAAACTTAGAAAGGGACTAGATAGATGGCTCAGTGTGTAAGTGAACAGAGAAAGCTTGAACCTGAGTTGCTTGATGCTTGGCACTGGTATATCAGCCCCAGGGCTGGTATACAGATGAGTCTAGAGCCAACTGACTACACTACATTAAGTAAGAGATCTTGTCTCAAAAATATGGTTAGGAGTCGGGTGTTGGTGGTGCACACCTTTAATCCCAGCACTCGGGAGGCAGATGCAGGCAGATCTCTGTGAGTTCCTAACAGCCTGGTCTACAGAGCGAGTTCCAGGATAGGCTCCAAAAGCCACAGAGAAACCCTGTCTCAAAAAACAAAACAAAAAACTGGTGATCGGGCTGGAGAGATTGCTCAATTGTTAGAAGGATTTACTGCTTTTTCAGAGGCTGCATTTGGATCAGGCAGCTCACAACCACCTGGGAGTCCAGTTCTAGGGGACCCCACAGTTCTAGGGGATCCCACAGTTCTAGGGGACCCCACACCTTCTTCTGGCCTCTGTAGTACTAACAGGTACATGTACATATTCAAAACACAGGATGAGACAGTTTCAAAGCAAAATTTTTTTGGGGGGGGTTCAAGAGACAAGGTTTCTCTGGCTGTCCTGAAACTCACTCTAGACCAGAAATTGCCTGGCTCTGCCTCCTGATTAAAGGTGTGTTTTACCACCACCCCCTAAAGAGAATCTTAAAATGAGTTTGGTGACACTCATATTTAATCTCAGCAGGAATAAGCAGATTTCTGTGAGCTCAAGGCCAGCCTGGTCTACATATCGAGAATCAGAAAAGCTACATAGCAAGAAGCTGTCTCAAATAAAATATTAAAACAAAGCAGGTGGAAAGCAAGATAATTGACATCAATCTCTGGCCTCCATAAACATGTTCACACCTCCACACATTAACATATATATGTACATGTACATACACACACACACACACACAATTTTCTTTTTTCTGAGATAGGGTTTCTCTGAAACACTCTGGCTGTCCTGGAACTCACTCTGTAGACCAGACTGGCCCCGAACTCACAGAGATCCACCTGCCTCTGACTCCTGAGTGCTGGGATCAAAGGCTTACAAAACCAATTCCAGCTCTTGCTTCCCCATGAAAAACGTCCTGGACTCAACCTGAGCACTACAAATAATAAAGGATATGTGTGCTTCGGTATCTAAAACAAGGTGAGTGTGAATCCTGAGAACATCATGAAAATGCAAACGGCCAGGTAAGGTGGTGGAGACAGGATTCATGGGGCTCACTGGCCAAGCTGAGTTGTAGAGTAATATTGTTGCACACTGTGAAGAAGTGGCATTCTAATTAGCTTAATAAAAAGCTGAATGGGGGCTGTAGAGACAACTCAGTGGTCAAGAGCACTTACTGCTCTTCCAGAGGTACTGAGTTCAATTCCCAGCAACCACAAGGTGGCTCAGAGACGTCTGTAAGGAGATCTGGTGCCCTCTTCTGGCCTGCAGGCATACATGCCAACAGAACACTGTATACATAATAAAAAAAAATTTTTAAAGCTGAATGGGAGCCGGGCGTTGGTGGCGCACGCCTTTAATCCCAGCACTCGGGAGGCAGAGGCAGGCGGATCTCTGTGAGTTCGAGGCCAGCCTGGACTACCAAGCGAGTTCCAGGACAACCTCCAAAGCCACAGAGAAACCCTGTCTCAAAAAAACAAAAAAAAAAAAAAAAAGCTGAATGGGGCCAGGTGCTGGTGGCAGTGTGCACGCCTTTAATCCCAGCACTCAGGAAGCAAAGGCAGTCGGATCTCTGTGAGTTCAAGGCCAGCCTGGTCTACAGAGCAAATTCCAGGACAGCCTCCAAAACAGTACAGAGAAATCCTGGGGGGGGGCTGAATGGGTCAGGTGGCGGTGGTGCACGCCTTTAATCCCAACACTCAGAGGCAGGCGGAACTCTATGAGTTCTAGACCAGCCTGGTTTACACAGTGAGTTCCAAGACAGCCTCCAAAGCCACAGAGAAGCCGTCTTGAAAACAAAAACAAAAAAAAGCTGAATAGCCAGGCAGGATTTTCAGGACAGAGACAATGTTGTTAAGAGGCAAGCAGCATGGACAAGACAAAGGTAACTGAGCCATGTTACAAATACAATAAAAGACATGGGTTAATGTAAGTTGTAGCTTAGAATCAAGTCTAAGCTAATAGGCCCAACTTTCCCTATTACTAATTCTCCATTTTGTCATTTGGGAGCTGGCTGGTGGGACAAAGAAAGACTCTCTACAAAGCCAGAATAGCCTAACTGGTGAGCTTCAGGGCAACGAGGGTTAGCATTCCTGAAGGTGGCACAGTAAGTTGCCCTATTGCCTCCATACACACATATACCCACACAAAATAGGGCTGAGGATAAAGTTCAGTTGGGAGCAGTGCTTGCCTAACTAACTAACATACACAAAGCTCTGTGTTCAAGTGCCCACACCATATATATGGGCCAGATGTACTAAGACATTCTGTAATCCCAGCACTTAGGTCATTTCAGCTACACATACATGTCTTTGAATCATGAGAAGTGTTTCTCCCTTTTGGACTTATTTTATGTAACGGATCTGAGAAGTGGAGGTTCAAACCAGTGTGATCTTACACCTGACCACAAGAGGGGTCCTAGGAGCTCAGTGAAGGTAAGCATGACCAAGTGTGTTCAGAAATGTACTGAATACACTTGACTTTAGCACACAGAAGGATGAACACCACATGGGAGCTGTCTATCGCTCATGTTTATTACATGTCCCCTCAGACCCACCTTACACAGAAATGCAAGTTAATTTGTCCAATACCTGTTATTAAAAAACAACAAATACCACTTAAAAATCCCGGTTTAACACATTTTTATTCAACTTTTTCCAATTTCTTTATAAAACAGTCATTTCCACACTAGCAGCTCTCCCCCTAGAGTGGGGGAGGGGGGTAAAGGAGGTTGGGCACCTCCAGAGAAAATGGGTGGGGAGGAAGCCCAGGGTTACCTCCTCAGGTTCTTCTGGGCCTGTTTCAACAATGTATCAAAGTCAAGAGAATCAAATTTGCTCTTCACAGGGGCAGGATCAAAGTCTTCCCGACTGGAGTCTACAGAGCAGAGAGGAGCAAACATTACTACGGTCCCGTACCACACTTCTCAAGCACAGGGATTTCAAATGGAGCTATGGCCCACCCCAGCAGCACACAGCAAACTGCCCTGTTTGTGAGGGTGTGGGAGAGCCACGCCCTCCCCTCTCACCCATCCTATGGGTTGTTTGTGTGTCAGATGGCAAGCAATTCAGCTTTACCCTTCTGGGGAAGAGATAACGTATGTCAAGGCCTCAAGCCCTCCTTCACACTTACCAAGATCAGAGTAACTCCTCTTGCAGAACTGCCTGCGGCCCCCAAAGCAGAGATCAAAGGGCTGCTCATCTGCCTGCCGCAGCTTATGGCCGCTCTCGATGGCTGCAAACGCCTCCTCAGCATATCGGTAAGTGACGAAACCATAATTGTCACTAGTGGGGAGGGGAGCCATTTGCACACAGGTTATGGAGAAGATGCAGCACCCCTGGGTACACAGCTGTTTCTTCCCATTTCCCCAATGGTCAACCCTCATATCATAAAAAAAAGGGTGACCCCACACAGCCCAGCACAACAGAACACAAGGACAGAGAAGTGTCAAGGTATATGAGTGTAACAGAAAGAACATCCTAACTTTAAAACCCAAGCTTACCCTTGGACACGGAAATGAAT